GCTGTCTGTGGGGCTGGGGCATGAAGGTCCCTGGAGGCGGGGCTAAGGGGCCGAGTCGTGTCCCCTTCCCTACAGGGGACACGATACACTCCCGTCCTCAAGTGGAGCCTGAAACCCTGCGTTGTTCGGAACCCTGCTCGTGCTGTGTGTTTCCCTGCACAGCCGCCCCTGTGAAAAAGTAATGTGTCCGTCAGGCACGGTAACAGAGCAACAATAGCTAAGAATAAAATAGAACAATTACAACAATGTACCAGGTCTGGCAGAAGTAGCAGCTGCATGAGTGTGGTCGGTAGGGTAGTAAGTGGTACGGGTGAAATAATTTATAGTTTTAATTTGATCATTTCACCTAAAATGTCAGGTGGTGTGCGTGAGTGTGATATTGTTAGGTTACAGAATTACATGCTTATGATTGTGTGATAAAAGAATTTGTAATGGAAAGGGGCGTTATTTGTGCTGGACCCTGTACTGTGAGAAAAGACAGGTGACCGTGGCCTGTCTCTCTGGTGAGCGACCTGACTGACGATGACCTGACTGAGATGGCTCCTGGGTGACCAGCGGGCGGGAACACACACCGTGCGAAGACACTGGGCAAAGGGATGACTCGTGTCCTGAGTGGGATGGAGGGGGATGGAGCGAGGTTTTCCCCCGCTGGTCAGAATGGTGCATAGTTTAAAACTCCGGAATTGCTTGTTTCTGGAACTTTTCACTCAGTGGTTTTGACCTGTGGTAACAAACGGCGGGAAGCACAACTGGGAATAAGGGAGGACGGCGGTGCCTGCGGGTCACGGAGAGCCATGGAGGTGCCAGGGAAGGAGAGGGTCCGACGTGTATTTCAGAAAGGTTGAGGTGTGAGAGAGGTAGAGAAGGACAGACCGGGGCTGAGGAGATGGAAGGAGGGGTTCAGGGGGCAGCCCGAGGCCACGACGCGTGTGCTGGAGCGGGCGGGAGTAGGGGGATCAGGATGACGGCCCGGGAAACCGGTATTCTTCTTTTACCCACTCGGACTCCCAAAACAGCTACAGCCCGTGCAGCCCCCACTGAGCTTCTGTGTTGTGTGGGGGACCCTGGAAGCCCCGGGGGAATGTGGAGGTCCTGCGGGTCTAGAAGCAGCGTGGCAGCGCATCAGGCCTGGGTGATGGAGCCGCAGCTGCGTGGGGCCTGGGCCGAGCCGCTCTCCCTCTCTGGCCTCAGCGTGATCCTGAGGCTTTGGGGAAGAGTCGTCGTGCTGGGGTGGAATGCTGAGCCTTCCCTAACAGGTAGAAGTGGGGCATAGGGTTGAGGGGGGCAGGTGGGAGCCCCACGGCCTCAGCCCCTTCCCAGGCTTCTACCACCCACCTGTAACAGTCTCCCCACCCAACGGACCCTGCTCTCCTTCCTGGCCCCCATGCTGCAAGACCACACCCACATCTCAGCCCACTTGGGGTGAAGCCACACGGGCCACACTCTCTGCCACATCCAGCCCGTGCCGCCATCACTCTCGTACTCTCCCGGCTGCTGGCAGGAGGACTCAGTCTCTGGCTCCAGATGCCTCTGGCCCCCACACACTCCCAGGCCTGGAGCTGGCTGCCTTCTGCAAGCTGAGTCATGACATCCCGGCCAGGGCCTCTCCCAAGCACCCCACGCCCACCCCGACCCCAGCACTCCGACTCAGCACAGCTGCTTTCCAGAGTGTCGTCCTGGAAGTGCTAGGTTTCCCGTGTACATCCATGTACAGATGGGGAAACTGAGGCTCAGAGAGGGGCAGGACTGCACTACAGGTGGGTGACAGAGCAGATACTTGAACCCACATCCCCTTGCTCCCGGCCAGGGATCTGTCCCCTGAAGTTTGTCCCAGAGGCTGTGAGTGCCCCTGGTGTGGAGGACAGAGGACTAGGCTGCTGGTAGGAGACCAGGGTCTGTCCCATTTCTGCCGACAACTTAACAAGTCACTCCTCTGACCCTCAGTCTCCGATCCCAGCTTGGCTGGGACAGTGCAGGAAAAGTGACTTTGAGATCAACAGAGTGGGGTGCAGTGGGGGGTACACTGGGGAGGGAGGGGCAGCAGCTGTTGTCTACACTCGGGAGCCTTGAGCCCCATTCACCTCTGAGGCAGGGCTGGAGGCGAGGGCTGCCCAGGGGCCACCTGAGCCCAGTCAAGACCCTGGGGCCTTTTCCCTGTCCTCTCCTCAGGCTCAGTCTCCTCATCTGTACAATGGGGTGGAGGAAGGGGTTGGAATGAGTAGGTGATCCCCAAGGGCTGTGGAGCGCCAACATTCCAAGACTAACCCCAAGACTCCGTGGCCAGACCTCCTCCTCCCTCTGGCATCTTATTTATTCAGAGCATCCCTGGCCTGAGACGGAGCCAGGCCAGCCCAAGCACCCCTCCTCCTTGAAGCAGGGCTCCTTCCCATCCCCATCTCCTTGCTATTTCTGCCCAGCTGTTCCCCGCCACCAGACTGAGTGTCCCTCTGTCCCCCCAGGTGCCCACAGCCCCTCTACATCCTCAACCACCTCGGTGGCAGCCCCTAATTCTGCTCCTCCGCTTCGCTTGCATCTCAGCAAACGGCACTACGCCCCGTGTGCACACACCAAGCCAGAAACGGGGGTGGTGGCTCATTTACGATACCTCTCCCCTCAGCCCTCCCAACATCTAATCAACAGGTCCTGTCAGTCTCAGCTAAATAAACCTCAGACCCATCTGTCTCTATCAGTTTCACCAGCCTCTCCCCAGCTCGAACCAAGCAAACAGAGAAGCGGAGGCGGAGCTCTCTGCCTTGGCTCCATCTCTGCTCTCTGTGCCTAGGCGAGTACCCTAAGTGTGTGCTGCCTCAGTTTCCTCTCCTAAAACGGGAATGATCACTTTATCTATCTCCTAGAGTTGGCTGAGGAGCAAGCGGGCCAATATATGCCAAGTGCTTAGAATAGCACCTGGTACAGCAAACACACAAGTCCCCGGCGCTGTGGCCTGTCTGTGTGCACACATGGACGTGTGTTTGGGGGAGTTTGGGGTCCCTGGTGCCCAGACTCTGTGTGTGTGTTGTGTGTGCACAGGTTGCCTGTCCCGGGTACACATGTGATGTGCCGCACACATGTGCACCTCACGAGGGCATTGGGAGAGCACACAGACGGCCATCTGTGCCGTGTACGTGTGTGCTGGTGCAGTGGGAGCTGTGTGCACGTGTGTGTGTGCACAGCATGCACATGTGGAGTGCTCGCACGAGGGCCAGGCGCACACATGGTCTCTGCAGCATGGCTGCGCTCCCGAGGAGTGTGTGAACGAGTGCGTAGGCGAGTCTGTGCTGTGTGTGCACGTGCTGACGGTGGGCAGGCCCCCCTCCCTCCCTGGCCTGCCTGTGTCGTGGGAGCCTCAGGACCCTGAGGGAGGGAAGCTGCTGCTGGCGGATGTGGCCGAGATGGACTGGATTTATTTAGATTAAGGCGGTGGGAAAGGAGTGGAGACTCGTGTGTACAGGAAGGAGAGAGGGCTGGGGCTCAGAGAGAGGCTTCTCAAACATGCCTGCTCCCCTGGACCAGGGGCCCTCGATCTGCTCACTCAAGGGGGTTCCTCTGATCACATGAGGAGCTGGGCAATTACCTCATCTTTGGACCTCTGTCTCCCAATCTGGCGGAAATAGGGAGAATCATGAGGGCTTCCTGGCACACAGCATTCTCCTGTGGGCACAGGGGGCACTCCCTGAGAGCCCCCCTTCCTCTCTCTGTCTCAGGAGCCTCCCTGAGTGGCAGGCAGGGGTGTGTCTGTCCCCTGACTGTGACACCTCCTGGTCCCATGTGGCTCCTCGCTGGAGCCCAGCCTTCCCTCTGAAGAAGGGAACTTTCACAGGCAAGCCCCCTGCCCTCCGCAGAACAGTTGCCTGGGCCTCTCTGGGGTTGGCTGGATGCACAGCAGCCTCTGGGAAGCCCAGAGGTCCGTGAGGACACTGGGGGTGTCAGGGACTCCTCTGAGATGGCCCAGGAGGTCATGTCCAGCTGCCTCAATCCCCGTTCTGGTTCTGTCCAGTCCCATGGCTTATTGTCCATGCCACCCTCCCCCCCCACCACCACCTCCTGGATTTTCAATCCCTAGTTTATTTGTCTGAGAGTCACCTGAAAAACTGAAGCCCAGAGAGGGAAATGGCTGGTCAAACCTTACACAGCAAGTCTGTGACTGAATGGTCGGGGAAGTGCGATCTGTGAAAAGAGAGGGGTTGTGAATTCTCACATGACTGCAGCCGCAGGAATGCAGCCCCTCCTTCTCCTGGCCATTTTGGAAGAGGGATGGCTCTCTGAGAGGACCCATCTGTACCTCTCCCTGTGCGGATGGAGAAACAGAGTCCAGAGAGACTAAGAGACTTGCTCAGTCCCATGGGGGGTCTGAGGCCCCTTGTGACCAGAGCCAAACCACCCACTTCATAAAGAGAGAAGACAGCCTGAGACCCCCGGGACGCCTGCACTCTCCCTGAGGTGTCTACCCTTTCTTGTGTTCCTCTGACCAGCCTCCCGCCCTCTCCCTGTAGCCCAGTTCTTCTTTCTCTTTGCTGTGTGACTGGGCCATGACTCTGTCCAGCTCTGGGCATCTGCTGCCTGTTCAGGAAGACCCCTCCGGGCAGAGAGTCTCAGAGACTCTAAGTGACCCCCAGCCCCAGGCCCAGTGGGAGAGGAGCCAGGATCAGAGACTGCTCCTGCCTGGGGCTGCAGGGGGGCTGGGGGGGCTGGGGGGAGTGGGGGCGGGCGGCACCCACACAGCCCAGCCTCCCAGAGCCAGGCCAGCCCCCACTGCAGTGACCTCCCATCTCCAGGCCAGCCGACTGAATTCCTCCTTTAGAATAATAAACAGTGCGGCCAGCCAGGGAGGCTGAGAGGGGAGGGGCAGGGAGGCTGAAATGACCCCCTCCCCCAGCTTCTGCTGCTAATGATTTTCTTTGGCTGAGATCTGGGGCAGGAAGGGGGGAGTCAGAGGGGCACCCGCCAAGGGGCAGATGGGCCTCTGAGGGGCTGCTGACTCCACCGTGGGGCTGTTCCTGCCCATCGGAGGAGGCCTGGCATCCAGCTGGAGGGGCTGGGGCAGGAGAGCTGGGAGAGGGAGGGGCACATCGCAAGAGCTGGACTTGCAGTCTGAAGCAATTAGGAGGGGAAGAAATGAGGGGGTCCACAAGCAGGCTGGCCTGAAAGATGGGGAGAAGGAGGAGAAGAGCAGGTTCACTCAGAGAGCTTATTGGGGTGCTAGGCAGGGCTGAGACTCGGGTCCATGGGCCAGGAGCCTTCTCTCCATTCCACCAATGGGCGGAAGCAGAGCCGGGAGTGGTCGACGCCGAATCATCCTGGGAGACCGAGGCCGTGGAGAGAGCAATGGCGTAGGGGTAGCCCTGCTGGGGTTCAGACCAGACCCCAGCCAAAGACTGGAAACTAAACGGGGTGAGGCGGGGGTGCCGTGGGGCTGACTTGGGTGTGGCCACGGAGCAGGCCAGGCCGGGCAGCCACTCTGCGAAGTCAGCAGACCCACAGCCCCGAGAGGCTCCTTGCTGCCTTGTCACGTGGTCGCTGCCCACATTTCTTGCTCTGTGACTCCCGTCCACTTCTGGTCCCCTTTCCGTGCACGCCGCAGGGCAGACCCTTGCAGGCCTGGCTGTTGGTGGTTATTTGGGGTCCTCGGATGGGGCGGCCACAGGCAGGGACAGAACAAAGACTCGCCCAGTCCAGTCTTCCGGTGAGTGCCCTGCCTCTGTGTCCTCCTGTCTCCATCGCTGCGTGTCCTCTCCCCGTATCTCTGGGTCTTCGTCTCTACCTCTGTCATCCACGTCTGTCTGTCTGTCTTTCTCTCTTGGACAAGCTCTGCTGTGTAACCTTAGACAAACTTCTTTTCCTCCCAGGGCCTCAGTTTCCCCATCTGGACAGTAGGGGTGAGCTGGGGGGGCCCGATCCGTGGACCTTCCAAGGCTTGCGGTGCCGAGGGGCCTCCCCGGGGCCCAGCCCCTGGCCCCTCTCCCCTGGGCATCCCTGTGGAGCTCAGGACCCAGTGAAGGGGGCCAGGCGTGGGGGTGCCCCCCATTCCACAGCCCTGACTCCCCCGCTTCCCTTCCCACAGCCGCCTCTACTTCCTGTTGTGCTCGCGGTGCTATGGGAGCTCTCTGGGCCCGGCTCTCCCCCTCCTTCTCCTCCAGGCCTCTCATCACACTTTCCCAAATATTTATCCTGGCAGATAAGAGCCTGGTATTGGAACTGTCACCCGGAGGACAGGCCCTGAGAGCTGGCAGGCCCCTGGACACCATCCCTGCCCAAACCCCCTATTTTTCTATACATACAGAGAAACTGAGACCCAGAGAGCAGTGGGGGCTCAGCCAGGGTCACCTGAGAGGTGGAGGCAGAGCCGAAGAAGGGCCCCGGCTCCTTGAGCCTGAGCCTGGTGCAATGGGAGGGGACCTGTGAGCACGAGGGCCCTCTTGGCTATGGGACACGGGTAGCCTTTGACTTCAGCCCCATGGACACAAAAGCTGGGTGGCCCGGGCTGGGCTTACTATGCAGGACCCAGGTGCAAAGATGGGTCCTGGCACCACCTTTACCTACCCTGGGCCCTGACCGTCTCCTATTTAACTCCACAGGACGCCATGCTGCTTCTGAGCGCCATGCCAGCTCCTGTCCTCAAAGGTAGGTGGACTGGGCACATGGGAAAGGGCCCTGGGGAGCCACTATGCAGGGCCCTGGAGCTGGAAGGGGTGGTGCAAGCTGCACCGGGGCCTGAGAATCCAGGGGCACTGCTCTCTGCTCTTGAGACTCAATGTCTTGCCTTTCCAGCGGGGCTCAGTGAAGGCCCCCTTCCACTGCCCACCCACAGTTCACAAACCTCAGCACATTCTCTGCTTGCCTGGAGCTGTCAGCTCATATCCTCTGTTGGTCTTCCACACCCCATGCCCCTCACCAGGTGTCCCCACCCCACTCACTAGGAGTCACTCCAGCCTCCTGTTCGTTCTCAGCACTCGCTGGGACTGGTCTGGCCCGTCTGCCTCCAGTCTGGGACTCCCCGCCCCTGCCTGGACTCCTCATTGGCTGTGAACCCCCAAGTCCTAGCTGGGCTCCTCTCAGCACACCCTTCCCTCATCCCTGCCTGGTACATGCACTCTGCTGGCCAGGGCAGCTGACCAGGCAGGCAATCAATCAGTGGTCAGTGGCAAGCTGCGGATGGCTGATTGGCTTGGCTGAGCACCAACCGATCCGAGGAGGCGTGGCTTACAGAATCCTCCCTCAGGGCATATCAGCAGGGAAAGTGGAACCAATCACTTGACAACCCCCCAACCCCAGTCCCTTTGAGTCCCCAGGGGCCTCAGCATCTCTCCTGTCCCCATCTGCCCCACTCTGAGCCACCTTTCCCCACCCTCCCCAAACAGGGCCACCTCTGGGCTTTGGGTGGAACCTGGGCAGCTGGGGCAGCTGTAGGAACGAGGCTCAAAAGGTGACCTGGGAAATAATGCAGGAACTGCTGGAGGCTGGGAATTGCTTCCCAAGGATTTCCTGATGCCTTTGTGAGAGAGAATGTGCCCACGGCCTGCGCGCGGCCCCCCGAAGGGCTCAGAGGCTGGGGTCCAAAGGCGTCTCGCCAGCAGGCCCCGGGGAGCTGGGCACTGAGTCTGGATGAGGGAGGTGTGTTTCTCGGTGGCTGTTGTCCCCCAGGGTCGACTCTGGGGGCAGGCACGGAGGCTCCGGTGCTGACATCTGACGCCTCCTTTCCTGTAGGGTGGGTGCTGCTGCTGCCCCTGCTGCTGCTGCTGGGACCACAGACCCCCCCAGGTCTGGTCATCTCACCTCCGGGGCCCGAGTTCATCCTCAATGTCTCCAGCACCTTGGTTCTGACCTGCTTGGGTCCAGATCCAGTGGTGTGGAGACGAATGTCCAAGAGGCCCCCACAAGAGATGGCCATGACCCCGGATGGCAATTTCTCCAGCGTCCTGATGCTGACCAATGTCACTGGGATAGACACAGGGGAATACCTGTGTACCTACAATAACTCCCATGAGCTGGAGCCCAACGAGCAAAAACGGCTCTACATCTTTGTGCCAGGTGAGGCCCCAGCCTCTGCTCACTCCCTTACTCTTCTCAACAGCGGGTGTCTGGGGGAGCTCAGGGAGTGCTTTAGTGACAGGGTAAAACACAGCCAGCTTAGAAATGCAGATGCACCAAGGAACCCAGCCTGGCTCAGTCCAGGAGTACGTTCTCTTCCACCCCTTGGAGTGAATATCTACCTGCTCCCTGCCAGCCCAACCCATTCCTGGCTCCCAAGAACTCTGCTTCCTCAGCTGGTTCCAATATGCTCCCTCTTGCCCTCTACATCCCATCGTCCCCATTCTCCAAGCTCCAGGTACCAGCTTCCTTCCAACTTGTGGCTTTCCCACCCGGCGCTGTCCATATTGAATGTAAACACTAGACGGGACTCCTGAGAGCATGCTTATTCTGCAGTGGGAGGGCTGAAGGCCGGAAAGGGGGAGAGGCCGGTTCAAGGCCACACAGCAATTCAGAGGAGTGCCGGAAACCCAGCTCCCCCTGACCCTCATTTTTGCCCCCCACCCCTGGCAGATCCTACCATGGGCTTCCTCCCTGTCCCCTCCGAGGAATTATTCATCTTCCTTACAAAAGAAACCGAGATCACAATTCCATGCCGAGTGACGGACCCGCAGCTGGTGGTGACGCTGCATGAGAAGAAGGTGGATGATCCGCTGCCTGTCCCCTATGACCACCAACATGGCTTCTCTGGGACTTTTGAGGACAAGACCTATGTCTGCAGAACCACCATCGGGGACAGGGAGGTGGACTCCGAGCCCTACTACGTCTACAGCCTCCAGGGTGAGCCCCCCTTCTGGCCCGATGCTCAGCAGAGGCAAGTGTGACCATTCACAGAGGTACAGCCCTTTCCAGCTTGCCAAGTGTGCAGCTCCATCCCTCACTGGGGTCTCATCACAGCCGTGGAAGGCAGGTCACGTTTCTCCATTTTACAGATGAGGAAGCTGAGGCTCAGAAAGAGAATGGAATTTGCCTGAGGCCATGGGCAGAGCTGGGCTGTGTGGAGTGGTGGGCAAAGACACAGGCTTTGGATCTCAGCTCTGCCACTTCCCGCCTCAGTGACTTTGCACAAGGCACACAGTCTCCCCAGCCTGCTGCTTCTTCTGCTGTAAAATGGGAATACTGACTCCCTACCTCGTGGGATTATTGTAAAAATCCCGTGAGACAGAAGAGGGGGTATCTGGCGTACGGTTCTGCCCCACACGTCTCCCCTGTACGTGGGTGCGGGGAGAGTACTTCGCTTTCCAAACTGTGGTCCCTCGTGGAAGGTCAGGACCATGTGGACAGAAATTTTGTTTTCTGCATTCACCGCTTAAGCCCCAGAGCCTAGAATAGCCCTTGGTATAGAGTAGATATTTAACGAATATTTGTTGCATAAATGACTCTTCCCACCAGTCATCTCTTCCCTCTCTGGCCCCTGGCCCCATCCCCAGCCTGAAGTGCTGGTAGCTGGTGGCGACTTCCTTAGACCTGAGCCAGTCTCTCTCCACCAGCGTCGTCCATCAATGTCTCAATGAGTGCAGTGCAGACTGTGGTTCGCCAGGGCGAAAACATCACCATTACGTGTCTGGTGACCGGGAACGAGGTGGTCAACTTCGAGTGGATGTACCCCCGCGAGGAGGTAGTGCTAGGGGTTGGCGTAAGGGCCGTGCAGGGGTGGATGTCTTGCCTGGCAGCCTGACTTTCTGGACGCTTCCTGATTTGGGGGACGTGCCCCACCTGTCCCTACAGAGTGGGCGGCGAGTGGAGCCAGTGACTGACTTCGATACCCCCTTCTACATCCGCTCCACCCTGCACATCCCCAGCGCTGAGCTGGGCGACTCGGGGACCTACATCTGCAATGTGTCAGAGAGTGTGTACGACCACCAGGACGAAAAAGCCATCAATGTCACGGTGGTTGGTGCGTGCCTTGGGCTCAGCCCCAACCCTCACTCTGAGCAGGATCCACACCCTGTCATAGGCCCGGGGTACCATCGGCCACATGTCTGTCCAGTTCTAGCCTCGTTGCCAACCAGGGCTGCATTTCCAGGAGAAACTCCACCCAAAATGCAGGGTCAACCCCAAATCCAACCTTAACCCCATCTAGACTTTCCTCTGAGCCAGAGCCCAGGCCCCAACCCAATTTCTGATCCTGGCCTTCAAATCCCAGGCTTAGGCAGCCCCATCCCCAAAGTCAACCAGGCTGCAGCTCATCTTGGCCACAACCCTGGGTCAGAACATGTCCAGGGAGAGCTACAGTTCCAGCCTCAATCTCAAACCTGGCCTGCAAACCATATCAGCTCCAAATTCGGCCAGGCCCAGCCCCAGCTTCAGTCCCAGATCGGGTACTTCTCAAAGCCTAATGCCCTGCCTCCAGAAGCCCCTCCCCATGAGGCACTAGCCCCACCCCTGACAGTCCCCCCTTGCAGAGAGTGGCTACGTGCACTTGCTGAGAGAGCTGGACGCTGTACAGTCTGCAGAACTGCACCGGAGCCGGACACTGAAGGTGGCGTTTGAGGCCTACCCACCGCCTACTGTCAAGTGGTTCAAGGACAACCGCACTCTGGGCGACTCCAGTGCCGGCGAGATTGTCCTGTCCACGCGCAACGTGTCAGAGACTTGGTGAGCAGCTGCCTGCCCACTCTGTTTTTGAAGTTATGGTCCACAGCTGCCAAGCAGCCCACAGCCTTCAGCTGCTCAAGGAAAACCAGGCCCATCTTTCCTGAGAGCTGACTACTTGCCAGGCGCCCTTCCAGGGGCTGTGCCAGGCCCAGGGATACTGCAGAGAACAGAGTACGCGGTCCCACGCCTCCTATAGCTTCCTGTCTATCAGGGAGACCAGGCACTGGTCAGAGGACCACCAGGATGTTTAACTGTCCTTGTAATGGCTGGAGCCATCGGGAGGCAGCGGAAAAGCAGGATGATTGGGAAAGAGGGTACCAGGCGGCTCGCTGCCACCTGTGCACGGGTGGTAGCCCAGAGGCGCCCGATGTTAGGATAAAGGCATGTCGGGCCTTTCCGAAGGAGAAGAGATTTGGAGGAGAGTGGAAATGGTGCTGTCCCTTCATCCCCACCCCTGTTGTCCCTCCTAACCAGCCTCTTGGCTCAGTGGAGCTGCCCGTGGTTGGGGATTCAGGAGACTAGACCTACCAGTGTGAGTCCCAGCTCCACTACTGACTCTGTGACCTTGGCAAGCCCCTCGCCCTCCCCAGGCCTTGTTTTCTCTGTCTGTACAAGGAGGGCGGGGAGGGTCCGTGAGAGTTCTTCCAGCTCTGACAGCTGGGTCTGCCTGCCTGGCCTGCCCCCAGGTACGTGTCAGAACTGACCCTGGTTCGGGTGAAGGTGGCTGAGGCTGGTTTCTACACCATGCTGGCCTCCAATGAGGACGATGAGCTCCAGGTCTCCTTCCAGCTGCAGATCAACGGTGAGGAGCCCTCCACCCTGCTGTCCTTCCCCTTACCTCCCACTGCCACTCCCACTTCCTCTCCCTTCCTACATCGTCCGCCCACCCACAGGAAGAACAAGGGAGGGAGTCTGGGACTCAGGAGACTGGGTTCTAGTCCTGGCTCCAAGGCTGGCCCCCTGCTCTATGCATACCCTGTCTCTGGGCCTCAGTTTCCCTAGCCATACAAGTTGGCCATTGGTCTAGACTAGTGTTTCCAAAACCTCAGTCATTCCTGTGCCGGTGCCACAGTTGTTCCTTGTCACACACCACTTGAACTGCATTACTAATTAAACAGATGTTTACTGAACAGCCACAGTGCACCAAGCTGCTCAAGGTCCTTGAGGCCCTGCTTTCCTTAGTGCAGCCTAAGTTCTGGTGCCGGAAGACAAATGTTCAACAGTTGCCGTAAAGTGCCCAGCCAATTACGTAGGAGGTTAGAATGTAACAAGTGCCTTGAAAGAGAAAGAAAAAGCTTTGGAGTGGGGAGGGGAAGGATCGGGAGTTCTGGGGGCAGGGACAGTGAGGGCTGCACTTTTAAATAGCGGGAATGGGTTTGGCCTCACTGAGGTGACAGTTTTGGGAGGACTTGAGGAAGGTGAGGACATTAGTCAAGTGGCTATTTGGGAAAAGGCATCCGAGGCAGTGTGAGGTAGGAGTTTGGTAGAAAGGACCGAGGGGCTGAAAGTGCGATGGGGGATGGGCACGGACGATGAGGTCAGAGCTGGGACAGGGCAGTCAGGGCTGGGTGCGGGTGGGGACAGCGTGTGGAGGTCCTCGTGGGCTCCTGGATGGACTTTGGTTTTTGCTGCACTGCAGTGAAGTTACTGCAGGGTTTGGAGCAGAATGTCAATGATAGTGATTTAATGTTTTGTCAGTAGACTTTCTAAAAATTCAGTTTGAAAGAGAATTTAACCTCTCGATTGTAGATGGAAAATCACTGTTACATGTCATAAATATAAAGCACCCACTAAAATAAACTCCAAGACAACAGGACAATGCTGTTAAATTCCAGCTCCGTGCTCTTTCTTGCCTTCCCAGGGCCGCTCCTGGCTTTGTTAGAAGGGAAGATTAGCAGGCCTCAGAAAGGTGTTAAAGACAGACCAGTACCCTGCTGAGGCTTCCCCTTTGAAGTACCCAGGAGGGGAACCTGCCAGTTTTCACAAGGTGACTCCTGGCACTTAATGTTCACCTGCAGTCTGCAGCTCCCCTCCCCCGTCCAGGGAAGACTCCAGGCCGCGTCCTCCCTCCGTGAGGAGCTTCTCACTCACTGTCTGTTCTGACCTTCCCTCCTCCCGCCCCGTGCCCTCTCCATGCAGTGCCTGCCCGAGTGCTGGAGCTGAGCGAGAGCCATCCTGCCGATGGGGCGCAGACAGTGCGCTGTCGCGGCCGGGGCATGCCTCAGCCGCACCTCACCTGGTCTGCTTGCCGTGACCTCAAAAGGTGAGAACGCCTGCCTCAGTCTGCCGGCGTACCCACAGCTGGCTGGAAGGACCCACTGAAGATCATCTAGTCCAGCCCTTTCCTCTGGGCACCGTGTTCCAGGCTAGAGTCACGTCCTAGAAGATGTGGCCTTGGGGAGATGCCCTGCATGACCTAAATTGCCTGTTTTCCTCGCCTTTATTATGAGGGTCAAACCAAGGGAATGGATTTTGCCCATCCGGCTTTTCAGTTGTGGGACAGGAGCTCCCCCTGCTGTCAGTTTGGGAACTGCAGGAGAACCAGCTTAGGACCGGGAGATGGGAAGTAGCCTGCTTTTGGCCTCAGTTTCCCTGCCTGCAGAGGGGAGGGACTGGAAGCTGACCTGGCTGGCTCACTGCGCAGATGTCCGCGAGAGCTCCCTCCCACACCGCTGGGGAACAGTTCCGAGGAGGAGAGCCATCTGGAGACAAACGTGACGTACTGGGCGGAGGAGCAGGAGTTCGAGGTGGTGAGCACACTGCGCCTGCGCCACGTGGATCAAGCACTGTCAGTGCGCTGCACACTGCGCAACCTGCTGAGCCTTGACATGCAGGAGGTCATCCTGGTGCCACAGTGTGAGTCATCAAGCCCCAGTGGCCCCCGGTGACCCCTCCTCCCCACCTCAAGCCTGCCATACTTGTGACTGTCTCCATCTGCCCACAGCAGGCCAGAGTCAGCATGTCCATGAGCACCCAGGAGCCTTGTGAAACCTGCCAGAGTATTGCCCCACACACTTATGCAGTAACACAATAGTGGCACATGTGCACATCCACAAGTTTACGTGTATAAACCATGGCTATGAATAGCACTACCTCCTTATGCCTGTATATGTCCAGTGTGTATGTGTCCTAAGCCATGTACATGAGCACATGTGATCCTCAGGCAGGGGCGTAAACCCTGCAAATGTAGATTTGTAAGCCACGTAATAAGGAATGCACAATCCTCAGACACATGTGTAAACCCACGAGTGTATGTCTATGCATGTACATGCAGGTGCACAATCCCCAGATAAGTGTGCAAACAATGCATGTACAATTTCTGTGCATGTGTACAAACTAGCATGGTGCTTGTCTGTAAACATGGAGAGGAGAAGTGGCCACAGCCTGGCCGCCAGGAGCGTGCATCTGGTCTGGAGCTACGGCAGACAGGCCACTCTGAGTCCTGCAAGAGCTGAAGGGATACAGAGGCCAATGGTGATCTGAGTGGGGGTGGGGCAGGGAGTTACTGAAGGGCATGGAGCATTTATGGAAGAGGCTGAAGGTGTGGCCCAGAGGGAGGGGCCAAGGGTCTGACATTGTAGGCTGTGGAGGGGAGTGAAAGGGGGCTTCTGTTCCGGGCAGGGTGGGCAGACAGGGACTGGTGGTACCAAAGAGGGAGGGGGAAGGCAGTGGACAAGTGCCCTGTTGGCTCACGGCTGGCTCTTGTCTCTGCCTCCAGCCCTGCCTTTCAAGGTGGTGGTGATCTCAGCCATCCTGGCCTTGGTGGTCCTCACGATCATCTCCCTCATCATCCTCATCATGCTCTGGCAGAAGGTAAGCCCCACCCTAACAGGCACAGACCTGCATATCAGCCCATCATTGTTTCGTATGGATCCCCGACTGTCTTTGAAACCTGCAGGACCTGGTTGTCTGGGGCCCAGCTCGGAGCTCAGGAGTCAAATGATGTAGAGTGATGCTGGATGTCTGAGCTGCCTCCGTCCCCAGCAGCCTGGTCCAGGCCATCACGGTCCTCTAGATGCACTGTTCCCTTGTCTGGGTCCGGCCCTGACATCATTGCTGCCCTCCCCAGACACAGGGTCTGGGACCTTTCTGGGAGACTCCGTGGGCCCCAGTATTCTTCCAACACCTGCAATTTCCATGCTCTGTTCTGAGATTTCCCAATTCTGTGCTTCTGACACATTAAGATTCCTGAATTAGGATTGAAGTACCCCATTGTCTGTCTCTCTAAGCTTCCGGTGTACCCCATGGTTTCACCATCCAGTGGTCACTTCTTTCTGAGATCCCGGAGATCCCTGCTGTGACTCACTCAGCATGGAGAGGGGCTGTCCACACCCAGCCGAGTGCCCCTGCCTTGTGTGACTTTCTGGGGTGACGCGTTCCTCTATGCCCATCTGAGGAGCAGCTGAGGCTCTAGGAGAAGCTGGGGAGGAGGCTCTCAGGAGCGGGGCCCTCGGCTGCCAGCTAGTCCCCAGCCGCTCCCCCTCTGGGGCCCCTGGAGTTTGTACCTACTGAACCCATGAAGGCCTTGGCTCTGTCGAGAACTTGCTGTGTGACTTTGCCTATGCCCCTGCCCCTGTCTGGCACTCTGGGTCTCCTGCCCCATCTGTTCCATAAGGGACTGGACCTAGTGGGCCTCAGGACCCCCCTGGTGACCCACCCCTGGTCTTGGCCCACAGAAGCCCCGCTATGAGATCCGATGGAAGGTGATCGAGTCTGTGAGCTCCGACGGCCATGAGTACATCTACGTGGACCCTATGCAGCTGCCCTACGACTCCACCTGGGAGCTGCCACGGGACCAGCTTGTGCTCGGTCAGTCTGGGGGCACCTCACGCGGTGGGATGTGGGCTTCAGGCAGCGAGAGGGTCATCAAGGTCTGGTCCCAGCTTTGCCACGACCAGCTGTGAGACTTAGGGCCTGTGTCTTGCCTTCTCTGGCCCCCAGTCTCCTCGTCTATAGTGTGGGGACAAAACGACCCCCCAAGAATCATCCAACATTGAGGTCCTATGTTCCCATTACTCTGTGAGATGGGACCCCTGGGTGACGAGAAAGGACATCTTAACTGAGTGGTTTGGGCACCAAGCCTGTTCTTAGCCCGGCTGGGAGGCCCAGGGGTGCAGAGGAACTGTGCTCCCCTCTGCGGAGGGAGGAAGGCTTCCGGGGACCGAGACGGTTCAGAAAGCAGAGAGCACTTAGAGACACTACAGAGGCCGTGACTTGAGGAGTCTCATTGGAGGAAACACCTTAAGCCCAGGGTGAGGGCTGAGGGATGTGTACGCTGTCCCCAGAGAGGGTGGGAGGCAGATTCCTGGTGGGCCAGGAGCTGAGACACCATCTCTACCTTAGGACGCACCCTTGGCTCCGGAGCCTTTGGACAAGTGGTGGAGGCCACAGCTCACGGCCTGAGCCATTCTCAGGCCACAATGAAAGTGGCCGTCAAGATGCTGAAATGTGAGTCCTGGGAGCACCCCCAACCCCTCCCTGGCCCTCCCCACACGGCCAGGCACTCCCAGAGCAGGCCAGGCCTGGCTTGGATTCACTGGGCACAAGCAGTGTGGCCACCCGGCGGCCACCCCCTCCTCATCTCTGGGAAAGCGGCTCTGTCACCCTGCCCTCTCCTCTGGCAACCTGCTCCCTCTCCCCCCACCTTCCTCCCATCCCCTCTCCCCTCCCTCTGCATGTGGGTCCTTGCCACCCTTGGCCACAAACTGGGGCAGAGTCAGAAGAGGCTCCGGTGCAGCCTCCGCGGGGCCTCCGTGATGGGGCCAGGCCTGAGGCCCTCCCTTCCTCAGCCACAGCTCGAAGCAGTGAGAAGCAAGCCCTCATGTCGGAGCTGAAGATCATGAGTCACCTTGGGCCTCACCTGAACGTGGTCAATCTGCTGGGAGCCTGCACCAAAGGAGGTACAGACCTACTTGCCCAGAGGATTCTGGGAAATGCCAGTGGCCAGAGCTGGGCCCCTCCCCTCAGTCCAGGGACAGCAAGACACCCCAGCTGGAGTGTCTGCGCCCACCCCGTTCAGCACCCTCACTGTGTGGAGCCACATGTGTGTGGGATTTAGAAACTCGCAGGGTCGCAGCGGGGCCGAGGCCAAAGGGCTGTCCTGGTCACCAGTACCAGGGATTCCCAAACCGAGGCATCTTCCGACATTTAAAATTTTCACAATGCATTTTTGAATTGAATCTATGGGGTGACACTGGCTAATGAAATCAAACAGGTTTCAAGTGTACGATTCTGTAACACATCATTTGCACACTGTGTCGTGAGCTCACCACCGAGGGTCGGGTCTCCTTTCATCCCCATTTACCCTCGGCCCTTGCCTTCTGCCTCCCCCGCCCCCTTCCCTTTGGTGATCACCATGCTGTTGCCTGCTTTTCTTAATACAATACATCTTAACAACTCTAATAAATGACAGCGTGTGCGACACCGAGTTGAGTTATGTCCCCACTACTCGAGACCACCAGCCTGCTAACCGGGAGCTGCCTTCATTCAGATCAGAGAGTAAAGTCTTTCTGACTAAACAGAAAAGACTGTTTATTTGCAGCTCTGGTTGCAAGTTAGGTTGTAAGTCTGCAAAAAAAAAAAACGTTATTGCCATTTACAGCTGCTTATTGTGAGGTTTGGGATTTTCCTCAGTCTTATGCAACCAGAGCAAAATACAGAAGCACACGCACGCACAGGCCTGCTTGTGCTCACAACCATCGCCCCATTTCGCAATTCGTGTTTTTATTGACATCGTCAAGTTCCCACTGATTGACTTTAAGTTCATGTGTTGTATTTGAATTTAAACCACAACCTGAAAATAAATAATTGCCACTGTTTACTTCATATACTGGGCTCTGAAATAGGCTTTAGTTTGAAAACCTGTCGACCTCAGCTAGCACTGTGTGCTCACTATGTGCCAGGCACTGAGTGGAGCCGACAAGGGTATTATCCCATGAACACCCAGAGCAGCCCTATGGGGTGGGTGTTATTAGCCCCATTTAACAGATGGGGAAAGTAAGGCTCAGGGAAACTGAGTACCTTGCTCATGGTCACACAGGCAGGCAGAGAGCCCAGGTTTGCCTGGAGCCAAAGCCTCTTCGCCATTCTAACAAGCCGCCTCTCCCACGTGCAAACCCATCATTAGCCTCATGGCCCTGGTGGGAAGCCTGAGGCCTCCCCGGGACCGTCCCTGAGCTCATCCCTTTGCAGGGCCCATCTACATCATCACGGAGTACTGTCGCTATGGCGACCTGGTGGACTACCTGCACCGAAACAAGCACACCTTCCTGCAGCACTACTCTGACAAGCACCGCAGGCCCAGCGCCGAGCTCTACAGCAACGCCCTGCCCTTCGGGGTGGCCCTGCCCAGGTACCTGGAGGGAGGTGGCGATCTGAATCTTTAGAGAACCCCAAGGAGCAGTTGCTTGCTCCCTCCTTGTCCAGTCCAGGAGCTGAGGCCAGATTGGGTAGAGCGGCTCTGTTTCACATGTTTGTTCTAGACCCAGGGTTTGGCCAGCCCCTGGGGAAAGACAGTAACATGGATGATAATGGTGGGATTGGCTGACACCTACTGGCTATCTGTAGTATGGCAGGCCCTGTGCCAAGCACTCTGCTGGTGTGATCCCTTGATCCCTCTCATGGTCCCTCTGTCTGGAGTTCCATAGGGAGCCCTTGGGGCTCTCCTGTCCCAGGCCTGAGTCTATGCTGTACCCCTCACTGTGGTTCCCACACCCTCTGCACAGCAGCCTCTGCGGTACCCTGAGGTCAACAGAGCCCCTTCTTCTTTTCCAAAAATAACATCTTGGTTCTTTTGCTGATTACAAAAGCAGTAGTATTTATTGCAGAGAGAAGAGTAACTTCAGAAAAGCATTAAAAGACAGTAAAACTCATCTCTGCCCTTTCCAACATTTTTCTCCATTTTCTTCCAGTCTCTCCCGAGAGGGACACGTGGACGCAGCCCCGAAGCTCCTCAGGGAGCTGATGCTGCAGGCGGACACGGGGCAACTCCCAGCCCACTCTGGGCTGGGGCCGGGCACTCTTGGGGCCCTGTGGCTGGATGGTGCTGCAGAGGCCACCAAAAGGCACCTTTGTCCACACCCTGCCTGGGACCATTGTCCTGGAGAGGGGTAGCTGCCCCTTGACCCAAACTCTCTGAGCACGCACACTGGGTCTTATGTTATCTCGGCCACCCCAGGACCCCGCTCAGGGCCCCACGGGTTGGTTGACAGGGCTCTCCACAAGGTTGCTCACCTGACAGTGACACAGTAGAGGGAGTTGAATCAGTGAGGCAGAGAAGAAGTACCTGAGTGACAGGGTCTTGCAGGCCCTGGCGGGTGAGCAGAGGGGCAGGAGCAGAGAGAAGAAGGGGAGGCCTGTGACTGCCCATCCTGGGACATTCTTCTCACCTTTAGCCACATGTCCCTGCCCGGGGATAGTGACGGTGGCTACATGGACATGAACAAGGATGAGTCGGTGGACTATGTGCCCATGTTGGACATGAAAGGAGACATCAAGTATGCAGATCTCGAGTCCTCCAACTACATGGCTCCTTACGATAACTACGTCCCCTCCGGTGGGTGTTGCATCCTCTTACCTGTACGGCCCTCGTACCTGTGCAGTGATGCACTCTTTTCAAAGCCTCTCATACACCCAGCTGGACCACAACCCTGGGTGGGGGGAGATGGCCTTGGGCCCATTTTGTAGATTCAGAAACTGAGGGTAGCTGACTGCCTAGAGTTGCTGTGTAGGGAAGCCCTGATGACCCCTAGTTTCTGGGTTGAGATGTGCACACAGCCCTCATGGAGGGGAAGCTAGGTGGGCGAGTGCCTGGCCTCCTGGGCCCTGGGGGAAGAGTGGTCTGCCTGGAGAAGACCCAGGCTGGTGCCCCTGAAAAGCAGTCAGGCCAGGCTGAGCAAAGGTGGCCTGGGGCAAAGGCTGAAAGTCTTTCTGGACAAAGTAGGAGAGGGTTAAGGCAGATATTTGGAAATTGTGTCCCTTTGGGGGGAAACTTAGAGGACAGGGAGCCCCCTGTCTTGAACAGTAGCCTCCGGGAGCCTGAGGGCCGGGGGAAATGCAAGGTGGCGGGTGACCTTTTGTCCTCCTCCAGCTCCTGAAAGGACCTGTCGAGCAACTTTGATCAACGAATCCCCAGTGCTTAGCTACACGGATCTTGTGGGCTTCAGCTACCAGGTGGCCAATGGCATGGAGTTCCTGGCCTCCAAGAATGTACGTGTGGTCACAATGGGCAGATTGAGGTCATGGGGCAGTGGGTCACCCAGCCAGCCAGGGTCCTCCAGGTGCACAGCTCTGCACACTAGCTTTGTCCCCTCTGGTGGGTGAGGATCGTCAATTCCCTCACACCACGTGACCCCCTCTCACCTGTATGGCCTGTCACACCTGGACAGTGATTCATTTTTCCCAAAGCACCTAACACGGAGGGTCTTCCCCACCATTGCCCGAAAGGCCTCAGCTTCCCTCACCCTCCACCCACCCCCAGTGTGTCCACCGAGACCTGGCAGCCAGAAATGTGCTCATCTGTGAGGGCAAGCTGGTCAAGATCTGTGACTTTGGCCTGGCTCGTGACATCATGCGGGACTCTAACTACATCTCCAAAGGCAGCGTGAGTACCTTCCCTGACCCTGCACACCTCTGACCCTCCCCGTCAGCGTGACTTGGACCCAGAGGAGATAAGAAGAGGGCTAATCACAGAAATGGAGATCACATGGAGGGTCAGCAACAGGGGAGTGAGAGGAGGAGAAGGTACAGAGAATAAGTAGCATAGACAGTAGGTAGAAAGTAGACAAGGGGGAGGGCAAGAATAGTATGGGAAATGTAGAATCTAAGGAACTTGTGACACATGGACATAAACTAAAGGGGGGGAATGGTGGGGGAGGGGTGTGCAGGGTGGAGGGGAGTGAAGGGGGAAACGGGACAACTGTAATGGCATAATCAATAAACTATATTTAAAAAAGAAGAAGGAAAACAGGGCTCCTGTGGTCTGACCTGCCCAGCGGTGACTGGCCCCGCCCGCCTGGCTGTGGGAGGGGCAGAGATGCTAGGGTTCGTGGGGGTGAGCGGGGGCTCAGATTTGCTGGTAATGACAGGGGGCAAGGGAGCAGCTGTAAGTGGTCCCTGGGAGTTTGGAGGGGAAGCAGGCCAAATGTGTCATCCCAAATGACAGCAGGAGGCAGAGGCTAAGACAGACAAACAGGTGGCAGGCAGTGTCTGGTTAAAATATGACCATGTTACCTCCCAGTCACGTCCCCACTGTCCACACCGGGACAGGGAACCCCGGAGCTGGAGGGACGCTAGGCCACCGAGATGGAAGGCAGCAAGGGTCAGCGCTGGGTGGCGCCTCAGCATGGCCCTGTCTCCCACGCCCCTCTGCTAACTCAGTCGGGGGCCGCCGCTGGGGTCAGGAAGGGAAGCCTGTTCTGGGAGGAGCCTCAGACCCTGGGGTGACCGTGACCCCAGCCTGTGGGAAAAGAAACTCGGCCTCCTGATTTTCCGGCCAGCACTGGGGTGGGCATGGGAACCGTGTGCAGCAGAAGCAGGCTCTCAGGGTTTAGGGAGTTGGGAGAGAGTTGCGGGTGGGAACTGCCAGGTCTCCCCGCTCCCACCCAGGTGCAGAGCGGGGCTCAGCCCCGCCTCACACCCAGGCCATCTGCCCTCCCACAGACCTTCCTGCCGCTGAAGTGGATGGCCCCGGAGAGCATCTTCAACAGCCTCTACACCACCCTGAGCGACGTGTGGTCTTTCGGGATCCTGCTCTGGGAGATCTTCACCCTGGGTATGCTTCCGGCTTCCCACGGCCCGCAGCGGCCTGGCGCGGCATCCAGCCACACCACTCCCCTGACCTGCCTGGCGGGGCTGTGAACAGACTCTGGGACGGGCATCAGGGCTCTGGTTCAAGACCCACCTGTGCCGCTTTCGTACTGCTGTGTGTCCTTGGCAAGTCTCTTGCCCTCTCCGGGTCTCTTTACCTCCCATGTGAGTCCTGAGGAGTTTGGATGGTGACATCTTCAGGTCTCTGATTCTGGGGGGAGTTTGTGGTATGTCCAGAGCCATGAAGGCAGGTGCCCACATTTCCCAATTCCAAGGCCACTGTCCCCTCAACCCAGCCCTGGCGTGAGGGTTTCTCACCATTTTTTCAACACCCTGAACCTGTGTATCTCTTTTCTTGTCTTTGCTTCCCGACAGGTGGCACGCCCTACCCAGAGCTGCCCATGAACGAGCAGTTTTACAATGCTATCAAGCGGGGTTACCGCATGGCCCAGCCTGCCCACGCTTCGGACGAGATGTGAGTGACGCCTTTGGGAGGATGTTTTGAGTGCAAGTGATACACACCCAACTGCAGCAGCTTAGGCCAGCGGTAGACTTACTAGGTCAGAGGCCTAGAAAAACCTAGGCACGGCTGGCTTTAGATGTGCAGCCTATTCATCGGCAGTCTCTGCTTCTGCTCCTGGGCTGTGCTCTCCTCTGCACTGGCCTCGTACTCAGCCTGGCACTGCCCAATGGCTACGTCCTAGCTGTTTCACCACAGTTCCAGCAAAAGGCCCAGAGCTGACTGTCGTGGGCTCCCTGGGGTCGTGTGGTCACCCAGAACCAGCCACTGAGCTCAGAGGATGCCAACCCCTACTAGCCAGCCCTGGGTCATGTGCTCACCCGGGTGTGGTCAACCCCTTGAATCACTGAACCCCAGGAGTGGGGAAGGGCCTCCCGAGGGGATGTCCAGGTGTGATGATGGGAAACGGCATCTGCCCGCCCCCTTTCCACAAGCCCTTTCATTGCTCACCTTGCTCTGGGGGGGCAGTCGCCCTCCCCCTGCGCCCGGTGTCAGAGGCCCTGACCCCCGTGTGCCTCCCCCCAGCTACGAGATCATGCAGAAGTGCTGGGAAGAGAAGTTTGAGATTCGCCCCCCCTTCTCCCAGCTGGTGCTGCTTCTCGAGAGGCTGCTGGGTGAGGGTTACAAAAAGGTAGGTTGAGGCAGGGCGGGGGAGGGAAACCGAGAGTTGTGGTCCAGCCAGAAGCCAGACATTGTATACAAGGCTCTGCGTGGCCTGCTGGTGTTCGAGGGGCCACCCCTTACCCTCTCTGGGCCTCTGTTTCTTTGTGGCATCGGTAAGAGGCGGGCTGGAGCTGCGAGTCTAGTTCATTTCAGCAGCACAGAGTGTTTGGAAGTGAAATCTGCATGGAAACGGACAGGTGTGAAGAGGAAGGGAGCCCACAGCCCGCTTCAACCTGCCAAGTCCCGGATCCCCTTCAGAGGGGTGAACTTCCCAAGGCTGGATCACTGCTGAGGGCTTGACCACTTGGGCCCCTCTGGGCTCTGATGAGGCAAATGGAGCCAGCCGGCCCGACACCCTCCCTCCGCAGCCCTGGAGCGGGGAGCCCTTCTCCGTGGACACAGACACCACCCCTTCCCTTGGCCCGCCCCCGCCCCAGGTCTGCTTCTGGCTCTGGGACCAGTGAAACAGAGTGGGGCTGCCCCCGGTCAGTAGTGAGGGAAGCCGAGGCCCCCGCTGAAGGGGCCTGAGGCAGGATGAGAGCCCAGACCCGCCTCATCTGAAGTGGGTAAAATGTTAGGGTGTTGGGTGCCGGTCCACAAACCGGCCCCTGCCTGGGTGGCCCCAAGCTCACCTTGTCTTGTGAGACGGTGCCGGGTGGGAGGGCAGCTCAGCCGCGTGGCTTTTGGCCATTGTCCTTGCCCTCTGAGCACCGGCTGCCTGATTCACACAGGGCTGGGGGTGCTGGGCCAGAATCGAACTGTCGGACGGTCCCTGAAGGCTTCTCTGATCCTGGCCTCCGCTGTTTCTTGGTGCTCCCTGCCCCTCGGAGCAGAGGTACCAGCAGGTGGATGAGGAGTTTCTGAGGAGCGACCACCCTGCTGTCCTCCGGTCCCAAGCCCGCTTGCCTGGCTTCCATGGCCTCCGACCCCCTCTGGACACCAGCTCAGTCCTCTATACTGCCGTGCAGCCCAATGAGTGTGACAACGACTACATCATCCCCCTGCCCGACCCCAAGCCCGAGGGTGCCGACGAGGGCCCGCTGGAGGGCTCCCCCAGCCCGGACAGGTAGCCACTGTGGCCAGGGCGTGCCAGTGTGCACGGCGTGTGTGCGCATGCGTATGACTTGCCTTAGAAGTAAGTTGCCTAGAGTGAGCACTTATTCCTGTCAGTGAATAGAAGAGAGAGTTGAACTTACTTGATCTCTGCTGCCCGCACGTGCAAAGGGCAGGGCGGTAAGAGAAAGACTGGGCTGGGACTTACATGCAATGTACAACAGCTATTTCCCATAAAGGAGCCCTCCTGGGCCACTGCTCTCCACCATCGCTGGGAGAAGAGGAAGAAGCCCAGTTCACACCCCAGCACCCCATGTGTCACTGCGGGTCATTGTCAGCCCCTGGCCTGTGTGCCCTGCCTTGGGGCCCCAGGGCGTTGACATGTGGCAGGAGCCAGAGGGGCCTCCAGGACCCCGTCTGAACATCAAGTCCAGGCCAGAATTCAGACTGGGAAGGAGGTTCCTGCTTTTCTTTGCCTTGGAATGCGGTGAAGTTAGAGGGTGGGGAGGGCTTTGGTGGAAGTCCCGTCTGTTGCCTGGACTTGATGTTCAGACAGGGTCCCCCCCCTTGGCTAGAAAGAATGGTTCTCCATGAGGCCAGATCCCCCCCAAAATGAGACCCCGCCTGTGGTACAGTGGCAGGAGCCCCACTGCTGTGAGACCGGCCAGGTGCCTTCTTGCTCTGCGCACCGACTGGGAGCACAGCGAGGTCTCGGGAGGCCCCTGAAGGCCCTCCCAGCCTGCGCAAGCTGCTGGTACTCCCAGCTCCAGGAAGACAGCGTGCAGAAGGGTTACGCACAGGGCTCAAACACCCTGGGCTGTGAAGGCGGGCCCTGATGTGTGCCCTCAGACAAGTTCCCTTCTGGAGTTCAGTTTCCTCATCTGTTAATGAAAATACAGGAGCACTTCAGTTCGGAGGGAGTTGGGAGGGTGAAATAAGGTGGTGTAAACCCTCAGGAGTGCGGGACACGCAGACGCTGAGTGAGGGATACACTTTGGGCCTCTTGGATCTGCTGTGAAGTCTCAGCTCCTACACTCACTGGCTGTGCAGTTCAGGACAATGATATAACCTCTCTGGGCTGCACCTTCCCCACAATGCCTGCCTTGCCTCGTCTTTACAAGGCCTGAGTGAGGCAGAGTGTGCAAGGTCAGACACGCACAGGGCTCCTGATGAACAGTGTTGCTGTTTTACTGTGGTTCTCTCCCACCCTCTCACTCACTTGCCTTTTCCCTCCAGCTCCACCCTGAATGAGGTCAACACCTCCTCAACCATCTCCTGCGACAGCCCCCTGGATCCCCAAGAGGAGCCAGAGCCGGGGCCCCCGCCTGAGTCCCCGGTGGAGCCAGAGGCAGAGCCACAGTGGCTGCCAGACCCAAGCTGCCCCGGGCCTCGGGCTGAGGTGGAGGACAGCTTCCTGTAGGGGGCCAGCCCGCACCCTGCCTGCCCAAAGTGTCCCCTCTACCTCCCAGCACCCCGAGTCTCCTGGCCCGTCCTCTGGAAGGCTTTGGCCCTGACATGCCTCACCCCAACCCCTGGGGCTGGCTTAGGAGGCAAGAGACCTGCAGGGGCCGTGGCCAGCCTTCTGCCTCTGGGGAGGCCATGTTACTCGGAGCCAGGGTTCTCCCAAAGGACTCAGTTGCCCCATCTGTAAGATGGGAAATTTGGGCTTGGTGGCCCACAGTTTGGGATTCTCCCCACAGCTGATAGGTGGGGAGCTTGGAATCCCTGGGGAGATTCTCTAGGTAGACAAGGTAGTAAATGAACTTTTTCCTGTTCAGCCAGCTACCCCTCAAGGAGCTGCAGCTCTCTCCTTGGACTTTCTCCACCCAAAAGCTGGGGAGGGACTCTGGTATCCCTGGCTGCTGGCTGAGCTGGGACGTGGCCTTGGGCAGTGTTGCCGCCTCTCCTCGATGTCAGCCTTCACTCTCCCAGGCCCGGGCTGGCCTGGGCCGTCTGCGTGTCACCGATGCTAGGGGCTGAGCCCAGTCCAGGGCTCTCCCGCCTGCAGCCCCCACCCCGGGCAGGTGGGGGCGCCCCTCTCTGTAAACGGTGCCCGTGTCTCTGTCTTTCTGGCTCTGTGAGTCCTGGGGTCTTTTCCCTCATCACTGCGAGTCTTATTCCACCCACAAGTCTCCAGGGCCAGAGGCTCCACATTTGTGAGGAGTGTGCGGATGTGCGTGTGAAGCACCCACACGCGTGGGCCAGTTTGTGGGTCATGTATGCACTGGACCCACGGAGGCCTTGCAGGAAGACCTTGCCCTCTCTGGGCCCATTTTCTCTGTTCAAAAATGAGTGAGTTGAGCTCATTGAATTCCAGTGTCCTGCCAGCACTAGCATTCTAGAATATTCCTGGGGGTGCATACTGCCCAGAGTGTAAAGCCAAACACCCCAAAGTAAAGCTCACTTTGTTCTGGGGGTGAGCTGGGGCTGGGGAGATTCCGGACCACACAGCACACTCCGGGCATTTGGGAACCACTCTCCTTCCCCAGGCTCCCGGCAAGTCCCAAAAGGCCAGCTGCCCAGGCCTTGACACAAAGTGACAGCCAGTGTTCTAGAAAGCCCCAAGCAGCTGCCTCAGGGACACAGGAAGACCACGGAAGCACTTCCAGTATCCACAGTGATCTCGGGAGCCGTCCTGGGCCAAGGGGGCAGAGGGGCAAATCAGACCGCCTGGTGCGCCTCCCACACCACCACCCGCCATCCAGGTCTGTGCTAAAGACAGTGGACAAGTGAAAGCCCCTGCAGGGCCCTAGAAATGACAAGAAGTCTTGGATGGGGAACCTGAGAAAGGGGTGGAAGCGGTGGGTACTCTGAGCATCACCTTCTCCCCTGCCCGCTGCCCCATGGGGTACGGCTTCGTCTCTGCCCAGGGCCACTCAGCTCTCTCTGTCCACCAGCCCCCAGCCCAGCGGGCACTGAGGTGCTGAAGGACGGCTGTGGCCCAGACTGCTGGCAGGGCAGGGCTGGAGAGGGGGTGGGGGATCAGCCCCTCCGGGCACCCACCCCCATGCTGGGTGGCACTTCTCTGCCCCAGGACCTCCCAAGACTGGTTGGGGAGGGAACTGGGTTCTCACTACGGTACCAAAGATGTAATCACCTAGGTTTACAAGTATTTTTAGGACTCACATTAACTCACATTTATACAACAGAAGTGCTATTTTATATGCCATCAAAATTTCCTATCTGTGTACCTTTTTTAAGGGAAAGATTTTAATATTAAACCCGGTGCTTCTCACAGACGTTTGTGGTCTCTGGCAGGTTTGGGGCCCTGTGCCTTGTTGGTGGCAGGAGTGGAGTAGGGCCGACAGGGCTCGCCCCGGCCACAGGGTCCCCACACAGGTCCTCTTAGCACTGGTCTGGTTTCCATCCGTACGATAGGGATTTTTTGCCCCCTGGATGCTGGGCTTCAGTTTTCCAAGTTGGGAAACAGGGAGGCTCTTCTGGCTGTGCTGGTGCCCGGCCCCGGGGTGGACAGGACTGTTCACAGGCTCAGGAGCCCAAGCCCCTCCTGCCACCCTGCCCACCTCCTCCACCATGTGCTTTGGCTTTGGCTATTAAGCTGCTTTCCACTGCCTCCCACCCCCATCCCCTTGGTCTGGGGGCCAGACCGAGTCTGCTGTAGCTCACAACGCGAGTCCACTAAAGCCCAGAGTCAGGCCCTGGTGAGTAGCAAACGGGTCCCAGTAGGAGGAGGGCGGACACCACACCCAAAGGGGCAGAAAACAGGAGGAAGTGAGGAGAGGGAGGAAGAGGAACAAAGGAAGGTGCTGGAGGACGGTGCCCGGGGTGAGGCCGGGGAGGGAAAGGTTCTGGCTGTGGCTCGGAGCACAGTCTTGCCAGGTGGGGCAGAGGGTGTAGACCTGGTAGCCGCCTACCCCTCCGGGCTGGAGGAGGTCAGTGGCGTGGGGCTGGAGTCAGGCAGGCATCCCCGTGGGGGCTGGCCGGCTCACACCGCCCAACCCAGACCACCTGCCCCGGAGGCAGCATGAGGCCAGGGGCTCTAGAGCTACCAGGGGTAGTGGGCCAAGGACAGGGGTCCTGGACTCAGACTGGAACTTCCTAACCCTCCCACCTGGGCCCTTTGGGAAGGTCATCTGAGGTGGAATGATGAGGTCGTCTGAGGTAGAATGAGGTTTGTCACATTTCACTGTGTGACCTTGGCCACCCGTTGCTCTCTCTGAGCTGAGGAAGGGGCATCTCAGTTTGTTTCTGGGGGAGGGGCACCTTGGTTTGGAGCCATTGCCTAGCCTGCCTCTGCAGAGAGGAACAGAGACATGAGGTGGCTCTGACTCAGAGGCCCCGCTGCCGACTCAGGAGCAGCCGACTCAGGAGCAGCCCGGGAACCCCCCAGAGGCAGGGCCGAGCCTCGCCAAGCCCGCCCTCCTGGGGTCTGGCTTCAGAGGACATCCAGAGCCCAGCCCCCCTTTCCTCCTGGCTGTGGCAGAGGGTGAATAAGCCAGTACCTGGGTCTGCCCTGTAAAGAGGACAAACAGCCACATTCCAGGTGGGGATTACCCTTGCCTGCGGGAAAAGCCTCCATCCAGAAGTCAGGAGAACATGGCTGCCTCCACCTCAGGCCTGCACACTGGGCCTGGGGCGGACCACACCGCAGCAGGCCTCAGTTTCTCCAGCAGTGAAGGGAGCTCATGGTGCTATAAAGAGCCGAAGGATGGTAAAGCGTGGTGACCACTTACTGAGCAGGTACTATGTGCTGAGGCTGTGCTGTTGCTTCTCACAGTATCTCACTTGACCTTCACATCAACCCTTGAGCCAAGCACCACTGTTGTTCTCATATTACAGTGGAGAGACCAGTTTAGGGAGGTTGCAAAGTGACCTCCCATGGTCACCTGGTTGGTATGACAGGGATGGGATAGGAACCCAGGCCTGGCCAACTCCCATGTCATTGCCCAGGGAGATAAAGCACCCAGCCAAGGATATAGGCTGAGGACCGGGGAAGCCTGGGTCGCAACCCCTGTCCCCTGACTCCAGACCTGTCTGATGCTGTGTCCCAAGAGACAGAGAAGGAAAGTGCGGACTGTGGGAAGGAGCTAAGTGCGTCTGGTGGACGGCCTGGGCCTCATGGCGCCCTGGGCAGAGGGGCGATGGGGTAGGGGACACAGGGACCACGGGCTGCCCTGGGCCAGCTCCTGCCTCTCAACCTCAAGCGTGCCCAAGGGAACGGGTGAGCTGGCATTTTCCTCCCAGACAGATGACCCACAGGGACTACACTGTTCTTCCACCACCCCGCTCGCTGCAGGGCCCTCGTTCCTGGAAAAAGAAAGAGGCCAAAAGAAACCACTGCTCCTGGGGCCCCGGGCCCCGGCTGACAGGGAGCCTTGCCATGTGCTGGTTGCGTGCCTTCCTTGAAACAAGGCTCTGTCTCTAAAAGTCCTCTTTTATTTCAGTTTCTTACTCAGCATCATTATAGTTAAAAATTAGTTTTATAAAACATTTATGTAACATTTGCCTGCATTAAAAATATCCATGAACCAAAACATATAATATAGAAAGAGAAAGTCTTTGCATATTTTGTATCTTAGACTCCAGTAACATTTCAAATGCTTATCTTCTTTTGTATGGAAATTCTGCCTCTCACTGTTAGTCATTTTGTTGTATTCTTCTAGGTTCCCCCACCCCTTCCAGTCATACTAATATTTGTATTTTGTATCTGTAGTATGCACACAGAGACATAATTATACTTCTAAACAAAGTTACCGCTGCCACTTTGCATCTTTTTGTTTCTAACTGAGCTGTCGCCATGGACACACTCACAGCTCACCAGGGCTACAGGTGTTCATTCATTCTGAGAGCATCACGTAACACAAAAGCACGCCCCTGCCGCCAGCTATTTAACCAGGCCCTACCAATGGACACTTAGTGTTTCGGAGTTACAAATTACACTGGAGTGGCCACTGTTTGTGAAGTACGTTTATATTCGCACATTTGTGTAAGCATTTTCTCCCCGTGGGATTAAATACCTGGACACAGAATTGCTGAGTAAAGAAAAAAAAACATTGGAAATGTTACTGGAGCCTGGAAGTTCTCTCTCTTTTTCTTATAATATATTTTATTGATTATGCTGTTACAGTTGTCCCATTCCTCCCCCTCACTCCCCTCCACCCTGCACACCCCCATCCGCAACATTCCCCCACTTTAGTTCATGTCCATGTGTCATAAGTTCTTTAGCTTCTACATTTCCCATACTACTCTTGCCCTCCCCCTGTCTATTTTCTCCCCACCATCTCTGCTACTTATTCTTTGTACCTTTTCCCGCCTCTCCTCCTCCCACTCCCCTGTTGCTAACCACCCATGCGATCTCCATTTCTGTGGTTCTGTTCCTGTTCCAGTTGTTTGCTTAGTTTGTTTTTGTTTTTGTTTTAGGTGTATGTGTTAATAATCGTGAGTTTACTATCATTTTACTGTACAGATTTTTTATCTTCTTTTTCTTAGATAAGTCCCTTTAACATTTCATATAATAAAGGCTTGGTGATGATTAACTCCTTTAACTTGGCCTTATCTGAAAAACACTTTATCTGCCCTTCTAAATGAAAGCTTTGCTGGATAGAGCAATCTTGGATGTAGGTCTTTGGATTTCATGACTTGGAATCCTTTCCAGCCCCTTCTTGCCTGTAAGGTCTCTTTTGAGAAATCAGCTGACAGTCTGATGGAAACTCCTTTGTAGGTGACTGTCCCCTTATCTCTTGCTGCTTCTAGAATTCTCTCCTTCATTTCAATCTCAGGTAATGTAATTATGATGTACCTTGGTGTGTTCCTCCTTGGGTCCACCTTCTTTGGGACTCTCTGAGCTTCCTGAACTTCCTGGAAGTCTATTTCCTTTGCCAGATTGGGGAAATTCTCCTTTATTATTTGTTCGAATAACTTTTCCACTTGTTGCTCTTCCTTTTCCCCTTCTGGTACCCCTATAATTTGGATATTGGAATGTTTAAAGGTGTCCTGGAGGTTTCTAAGCCTCTCCTCATTTTTTTTGAATTCTTGTTTCTTCATTCTTTTCTGTTTGATTGTTTCTTTCTTCCTTCTGGTCCACTCCATTGATTTGAGTCCCAGTTTCCTTTCCATCACTATTGGTTCCCTGTGCATTTCCCTTCATTTCACTTAGTGTAGCCTTCATTTGTTCCTCTAATTTGTGACTGAAATCAACCAAGTCTGTGAGCATTCTAATCACCAGTGCTTTGAACTGTGCATCTGATAAGTTGGCTATCTCTTTGTTGCTCAGTTATATTTGCTCTGTAGCTTTGATCTGTTCTTCCATTTGGGCCATTTTTTTTTTTTTTTTTGGTCAGATCTCACCTGTTATGTACAAGGGGCAGAGCCTTAGGTGTTCACCAGGGCAGGGCAACCCAGTTGCTGGGTTGTGACACTGTATGTGGGGGTGGGGTCTGAGAGGGAGCAATGGTGCTTGTTCTGCTCTCTGTCAGATTTCAGTTCCTTTTGAGCTTCTCACAAGCAAACTGTGCTTTTCTGGTGCTGATTCCCATGTGGGTGGGCTTGTGTATGTTCTAGGACCCTGTGGGTCTCTGCAACAAGCTCTCCTGTGAGGCTGGACGTTTCTCCTGGCACCTCAACCCCAAAAGGTGTTTTCAGTCAGTGTTTTGAGGCTTTATTTCCTCACGATGGGACCCTGAGTTGCGTGGTCTGTCTCGCTCCCCAGCTTCACCTGGTTTATATGCACATAAACGTGGGACTGCCTGGTCAGCCAGCTGCCTTGCGCATGGTGCCCCACTTCACAATTGCCGCCTCGCTGGGTCTGCCAGTTGCCACCCCGCCCCTGGGCTCTGCCAGCAGTGGCCTGGGTGTCCAGGGTCCACCCTCCGCCGACCTGCATACCCGGTGCCAATGCTTTTTTTGCTGCAACCCCTCTCTGCCCAGCTGCCCGACTCTGCCCCTCCTACTGGTCTGGATGAATGTGTCTATTTTTCTGTCAGTTATGGATATTATTTCATTTCTGCATTGTTGTTGTCCTTATTTTGGTTGTGTGAGGAGGCACAGTGTGTGTACCTATGCCTCCATCTTGGCCGGAGGTCTTGAAGTTCTCTTTAAAACACAGAAAATCATAGAGCTTCTGGGAGGATGAGAAAGTCAAACATAAAAACAATGAAAATGACATATTTTAATTCTGGCATGGGATCTGGTCTCCTGAAAAGAGTTCTGTGCCTATTCTGTTTGTTGAAAAAAGTCACAGACAAGCAGTAGAAAAGGAGTTAAGAGCCGGAAGGGCA